GTCTTTCTGTCCTCCTGTCTCTCCGTCTCTTGTTCCAGAATCTGAATCTTGCTTCTTCATTTCTTTTTGTTTCTGATTCTGTTAAAGGTTTTAAACTTTGACCTCACCTGGCTCTGGGATGTGGTTGCCATGGTAACTCCTGCAGCTCGGTGACGCCACAGGGAGAAGATGAAGAGGAGATCTGGGTCTGATCAAAGATCAACAAACCTTCCTCCTCCTCCTCCTCTTCCTCCGGTCAGTAAATCCAGATCGGATTGGAGGGAAATTGGTGGCAATTAATCCTCTGGGATTGAGAGGAGACCCCCGCCCTCTCCTCCTCCTGCCCACCCCACTGGTTCTGGCTCCTGATTGGCTGCCGCCGCGGACCCGGGGGCCCGGGGCCGCATAAATTCCCCCCGCCGGGTCCAGGTCCCGTTTTTCGACCTTCATCCCTCCTCTTCCTCAGCATGACCGGCAGGGAGGAGCTCAGCGAGGACAAGCCCAGGGTGCGGATGCTCTCCCCGGGGTTCGGCATCGACAAGGCCCGGCTGCACGGCTCCGGGTTCCGGTCCAAAGGCTTCGCCATCACCGACCTGCTGGGTCTGGAATCAGACCTGGCGGCGCGGCAGCAGCCCGCCGGGGCGCCGTGCTTCCTGCCGGGACACCTGCCGCTGCTGCAGGCGCGGCCAGACGGGCACTACATGCAGAACCTGGAGGCCCAGCGGGAGCAGTACTCCGGTACGGACCGGTACGGTTCTGGAGTGGCCCATTTCCACCGCGGTCTGGTTCTGATGTTCTGGTTCTGTTGTGCAGATGAAGAATGTCTGTCGGACCGAAACGACTCGAAAAGCTCCGGAAACTCCCAGAAGAGGAAGAAGAGGAGACACCGGTGAGGAAGATCTTCACCCGGAAACAAGTTTGAAAAATTACAGAAATTAGACAAATTTAAAATATTAAATTGTAAGATTTATTTTTCCTCTGAATCTGCAGCTCGGTTCCGATAGACGCAGCAGCTCCGGGACTTTGAGCTAATTTAGAAATTACTGACGAAAATAAAAAAACAAACAGAAAATATTAAATGAAACGAAATTTGATTTTTATTAATTAAATTCTGATGGACCAGAACCGGTTTCTAATTACTGACAACAAGTAAATCCTGATTGACTTTATCGAATTATAAATCAATAACAATGAATAAATTCGAGTTTGGTAATTAATAAATACGTTTGGTTCAAACAGATTTATTTTAATTTACTCAGAAAAACATCAAAATAAAAAAATCTGGCGTTTTAAATGGATTTTCTCTCAATAAATCACTTTACCCATCAGAGAGAATTAATTTAAGGCATTAAAGATCAAATAATGAGCTACAAATATAATAATAATAATAATAATAATAATAATAATGATAATAATAATAATAATAATAATAATAATTATTATTATTATTATTATTATTATTATTATTATTATTATTATTATTATTGTTAAAGCAGCAGCATTAAACCATGTGAACAGAACTGGTTCTGGTTCTGAAAGTGCAGCTCAGCTAATTCCGACCTGATTCCTCTTCCTCTTCCTCAGCACCGTCTTCACCTCCCACCAGCTGGAGGAGCTGGAGAAGGCCTTTCATGAGGCCCACTATCCGGACGTCTACGCCCGGGAGATGCTGGCCATGAAGACGGAGCTGCCGGAGGACCGGATCCAGGTGAGCCTGGGGTCCGGTTCGGTGGGTTCCGTTCGGTTCTGATGTGTGCATAAAGAGGAGGTCCACAGAACCGAGGACTGTGTTTTGTTTGTGTGAACTTATTTATTTTCTGTTCTCCTTTTAGATTCAGTAATAATATAATCACTAATCTTTATTAAATAAATGTATTATTACCTTTTGTGTATAAAAATATATGAACTAAAATAAAACAATGTGATACATATTCATAAATTATTTAGGTGTTTAAAATAATGCACACATTATTTTATTTGTTAGTAATTCATAAGAATTTATCATTAATACAAATTTTTATTATTTATGATAATATACTCATTTTAATTGAATAGTCTTTATATATTTAGTTATATTTACATTAAAATACAGAAACTAAAATAAAACAAAATGATATTCATCAATTATTATTTAATTCTCAAATGTATAAAAAATATTACACAAACATCTATATTCATTAGTATTCAGTCAATACTTTATTATAGCTTGTTAATAATCGTTATATTATAATATTTGTTACGTCCAAAAAGGGCGTAACATATTTGAGGAACGGAGGCAAGAAAGAGGGTCCAAAATTATTTTATTTTAAAACTTTTAACTTTTCTTTTGCTTCAGCTGCTTTGCAAAAGAGAGACAGTTAAACACCCTCAGTCCAAAACAAGAGAAAAATAAAAGTATTAACAGAAAGTTGGACCTGGTGAGCCGATCCAAAAGAACAAAACGGTACAGCAGGGGGCCGACCCGGTACCGGGCCGCCGGAGCCCCCACTGGCACGGAACCTACTGCAAAAGAAAGACCGAAAACAGGAGAACCGGCAGTGGCGCAACTACACATTATTCAGGTGGATGCGAAAACAAAATCGGCGCCCCGCCCCCCCAGGGAAGGAACGTCAGGGTGAAGGCGACGCTACATGATGAAGTGTAAAACTCGCTACATGTACCTCGTTATGTGCAAGAGGTGAAGGAGGCCAATGGCGGGGCTCAGGACAGAACCCAGCGGACCGACAGCCACGACGTAGCGACATCAAATTAATGACCAAAAATAAGAAATGACCCAAACTTCAAAATATATTAAACAAAAAGTCATTCAACTAAAGTCCACATGCTGTGGTTCTGCTGGTGTCCAGGTGTGGTTCCAGAACCGGCGGGCGAAGTGGCGGAAGCGTGAGAAGTGCTGGGGCCGCAGCAGCGTCATGGCGGAGTACGGTCTGTACGGCGCCATGGTCCGCCACTCCATCCCGCTGCCGGAGTCCATCCTCAACTCGGCCAAGAACGGCATGATGGGTTCCTGCGCCCCCTGGCTGCTCGGTGAGCCGCATGCACGTCAGTGCCACGCACACGCACACCGGCAGCAATACACACGCGCTCACTCACAGCGCCCCCTGCTGGCCGCCTCCCGTTCTGACCTGATCTGGTCTGGCTCCGCCCCCTCAGGTATGCACAAGAAGTCCCTGGAGATGGCCAAGAAATGCTCCAGCCCGCCGCCGCCCGATCCGTTCTGCGACGCTCCGGAGCGGCGCGCCGAGGGGGCGGGGCTTCTGGAGGGGGAGGAGACAGATGAAGAAGAGGAGGAGGAGGAAGAGGCCATCGACCTATCCAGCTCTGCCAAACAGTCGCAGCAGGAAGAGGGCGGGGCCTCTCCAAGGACCACGCCCTCGCCTCAGCAGGAGAGCAGCGGCGAATCAGAGGAACACAGCTGAAGGTGGGCGGGGCCTGCTCTGACTGGCTGATGGGAACTGCAATCTGATTGGCTCTTCCTTCATGAGGAAGCATCATCTGTTGCCATGCAAACCTGCTGCATTTAGGCGGAGTTTATTTATGTGGCAAGTGGAGCAGGGCAGCCCCACCCACCCGGGAACCAATCAGAGAGGAGTGGGCGGGGCTAGAGGACAGGCTGAAGGTTCTGCAGAACCTGGAGAACTTCACTGGACCGGGTCAGACTCCAGAACTCCAGGATCTGTTTGGTTCTTTTCCCCGTTTTCCATCTGTGTTGGGTGGAAACTTCCTGTCTGTTCATCCATGTGTTTGGAGATCAGAATGTAAAATACAAACTATAGTTACTGTTTATGGTTGTTGTTGTTATTATTATTACTAAATGTCTGCACAGCCATTGGTCACCAGAGTGAAAAATAAAAATAAGATATTTTTTGGAGGATCTGAGACTTTGTGTCATAAATCATGATGAAAAATCAAGAAATGGATGGATGGATGGATGGATGGATGATGGATGATGGATGAGTCCTGTAGTCCATCCAGCATCCTTCTGTCCAGAATCTCCATGGCAACCATCAGGTGTGTTGCTGTCCACTCAATTAAAACATCTTCAGGATGTCTGTTCAGACTACCCATAGTCATGCTAGCCATCAGCGCTACCATCACGTTGCCATGGAGACAGCCATAGAAAGGAGGAGTCCAGCTGCAGACCAGCTGTAAGACTGTCCTGATGTTGGTGACGTTCAGCAGCATTTCCTGGATTATTGTTATTGTTTTCATGTTTCTCTCTAATAATGACAGGAGATTTTCCACAACAAATAAAGGATTAAAAATTAAAACGTGACCAAAACAAAGGAGATTATTGTTGTGTGTCGGTCAATCTTTCTGTTATTATCTGTCAGTACGGGTCAACACCGGATAAAGCCTGTTTCTGTTCTGGTGACTGTTGCCAGTGGAGAAGACGATGCACAGAAGGATCTTCCATAAAATCAACCATGAGCATCAGACTGCCTTCAGTCAGAGGCTTCTTCTCACTCCCTGTGACTTCGTCTGCTACGGGAGATCCTTCCTGCCCACGTTACAACATTTAGTTTCCCTCTGCGATCAAAAATGGTTTTCTAAAATAAAGAATCTGTATCCAATGGAAGATCAGGGCCAAAAAAATCAATTCTGACCTTAAAGTTAAAATTCTGAGAAAAAAAGTCAGAATTTCCTTCGGTTTATTATAAAATAATAATAAATGAATGAATCTGGCTAAAATGAGCTGCTTTTCTCTGTTTGCTGTATGAATTATGCCATGTTTATGATTTTTGTTTTTTAAAGAAAACGGAAAAGGCACTGGACGAGTTACCTACGTCATTTCCTGTGCCGCTGTAAGCCGCTTGCTAACCCGGAGCTGACCGCGGTCCAGAATGGCGGATTTAGCCGCAGTCCGGAGCCAGGTGGCTCTGGTCGTGAACAGCCTGGCCCAAACCCTGCTTACGGAGCTCCGAACCGCGGGGCATGCGGTCCGTGTAAGCAGCCCGGAGCCCCGGTCAGAGGTAAAGCTAACCGTGGCTAACAGCAACACTTCCGGCTCCAGCAGCTCATGTCGGGTGACGTCACGGTCCTTGTGAACTCTGCAGCGAGTTTAACTTTTTTTATTTACTATCAAGTAACAAAGCTACTAACTGTGGAGGACCAAAACCGACATAATAAGAAATAAAATAATAAATATATAAATAAAATAATAAATATATATTTTGATAAGAAATAAAAGCATAAATATATATTTAGCTTTTTCTTTTCCTTACACTTGAGTTTCCATCAAGTAATGTATATATTTTATTTTTCATTTCCCCCTAAACATGCGTTTTTTCTGCTGCATTGTTATGTTAATGAGGAGAGCTTCCTTCTATGACTACTATTGGCCAATAGAGCTTTGGAACGTGACGTCACTGCTGTAGACGGAGGGACACCAGCGCCATCTTTGGGGTCCTCTCTGTTAAACATAACCGAGAAAAACAGTCTTGCAGATTGTTTTTAATCAAAGTTATTTAAAATAATTTAGCTATGGCACTAACTTACTGCGTTATTGAATGTAATGTCCGATCACACAACTGAAACTGTAAAAAGATAGAAAATGGACTTTCGTTTCACTATTTTCCTGCTTGGAAACAACGCGAGGAAGCTAAGCTATCGGAGCTAACTAAAAGGAGACGAATCTCATGGTGTCAGCGGTGAGACGTCCTGATATTACCTTCTCCAACATCCCCAGATACCTACAAGTTTCCTCCAGACATTTCTATTAGGGTGAGTGTCTAAATTCACTTTGTTGGTGTTGTGTCATAATTTATTTGCTATGATTTTGTCCGGGTGTTCTCATGTTCAGTTTCTGTTGAATTCATTTAAGTGGGTCAACCTTGCTTAGATCGGGCTAATATTATTTATGTAGCATAGTCCGAGTTTTGTCAGTGGACATCGAGGTTCTTACATTATTGTGAAGTAAACTATTTTACTAGTGTTATCAAATTTACAGCTTTAATAGCGATGTGTTCTGATATGTCCTCTTGAAGGCAAACCGACGTATGAAATGGATGAGCTCAATCCTGACTGGGGTCCAGCGCTGAATGTGGGTCACTGAGGTAAACGCCACAACATCGGACCGACATGGGCGTCAATTAAAGAGGCGATACAGCAAAACCATCAACAGGTTACTGAGTCTGATTTCATTATTTACCCCAGAAGAGGTAAATAATGAAAACAGAGCAGCGGAGGCAACAGAAGAGGAGCAAGTTGGAGAGGCTGAGGAGGAGGAAACCCCAGGAGAGGAGCTCAGCAAGGCTGCAGACCCTGAAGAGGAACATGAACCATTTGTGTTGAAATATGTGTACAGTTGGAAGTGGCTGTTTTCTCTCATTTAATAATTTAATGCATTAAACATTCATGAATCGTTTGATTCAAGCACTTCAAGTTACATGTAAACAGGTGAAGAAATGAATCACATTTTAAGTAAAAATTTGATATTTAAAATATTTCAGGTATACATGTAATGAAACATTATATTTTTAAATAAACATTTTATGTGATTAAAGTAAACAATTATATAATCAGAAATCTAATTGTATACAGCAAAACCATCAACAAGTGGGGGAGCAAGTTACAGAGACTGTTTTCATTATTTACCCCAGAAGAGGTAAATAATGAAAACACAGTAGCAGAGGCAACAGAAGAGGAGCAAGTTGGAGAGGCTGAGGAGGAAACGCCAGGAGAGGAGCTCAGCAAGGCTGCAGAATATGTGTACAGTTGGAAGTGGCTGTTTTCTCTCATTCAATAATTTAACGGTTTAACGCACCTGGATCAAATGATGGCTCGTTAGATGGCCTAAGGAACATTGACAAGCTGAAAAGGTTGTTGCTACCACCAGGGAGAGAACTAAAACGTGCAGGATGCCGGAGCAGGAGGACCGACTTTGGACACCCCTGGTTTAGCCCTTCATGGTTCTTTTGATATTATTTGACGCATTGTTAGAATTATGTTATTGCTTTC